AGCTCAATACAAATAAGTAAACTAAACATGAGACTGTAGTCCAAAGGAGACATTTGGGGCACGCATTTACCGACCCATGGACGCTAACAGGCAGCTTTGTAGGCACCCAACCCGTTTCCAATGTAAAGCCGACAATCGGCTTTACACATGCTCTGTTTACAGGAGCTTGCTCCTGCCTTCGTATGACAAGTCTTTAGGGATTGCCGAAAGGCAGACTGAGTAGGACTGAGTAGGAGATTGCTGGACAGGTTGGGGTAGGGAGTTCCAGAAAATGGAAGCGAGCATGGCCGCACAATAATGGCTGTTGAAGCTTCTATCTACCTGGTTGTCAGGGTTCCACCCTGACTTAACTGGTTGTGCAGAGTTGTGGCTTGGCTGCCATTTACCCACCTGTGAATCCTCCTCTGCCTGAGCAGATTCTGTAACGTTGCTCACTACCCCCAGGCTCCCTCTTATGGCCAAACAGGAGAGCATCATCTTAGAGAGCCAGATGGGAGTTTCCAGTCTCTGAGTGATGATGTCACCCCACTCACTATTTAAACCACTCAGGTCAGTCTGACTTTGACCTTGGATGCGCTGTCCTGCTAGTGCATTCCTGCGGCTCAGTGTAGCCTGAGTCCATGCATGACCTGATCTTGGCTGTTGGTCTCTCCTGGTTCCTGCTCCTGGGTTTTTCCTGACTATGCTGATTTCTGTGTTTCTGGCCTAGCTTGTATGATTACCAACTCTGGCTCCTGACCTTGGCTTGTTCCTGTCTATGACTTTTGCTTGCTCCTTTAAACACTTTTCTTAATAAATATTTTAACTAGCACCTTATGCTTGTCTGGTTTTCATTGTGCTCTGACACTGGTGAAATCAAGGCCATTGCTTTATGATCCCACCCACCAGTAATACAAAGATTGCTTAAAGCATTAGATGGCATGGGAGGAAATTGCCTGTGATGTGTTTAATGATTGCAACATTTACCACACCTCGTTAAAAAATAAAACATAAGCTTAATTTATAATGCTATCCCTGTAAATGACACTTCTGCATACCAAATCAAAACTGTGAATGTTGTCCTTCTAAAACAAACAATGTTTTTTTTCAGCTCTCCTAGCATGACTGTATACAGTATATAGTTAGGACAGTAGCTGAGACTTCTGCAAAAAATAAAACCATGTTTTTTAACAGAGATGACACAAGATTGCAGGACACCTACACAGACAGCATGAGAGGAAAGCTCTATATCAGCCTTTCTCAATCAGGGTGCCATTGCACATCGTGGTGCCTTGAAATGTTGTAATAGTGTAAATAGGGGACTCTGATGTAAAATGAGAGATTTTGATATGAAAGGGGGGCTCTGATATAAAGTGGGTTTCTGATGTGAGATGGTGGCTCCTGTCATGAAACGGTGCTCTTCATGTAAAAGAGGCTTCTAATGTAAAGGGGGGCTTCTGATGTGAAGAGCAGCTTGTGAAAGGAAAAAGGGGGGATGTGTAAGAGGGGCTCTTGATTTGAAGGGAGGACTTTGATGCAAACGATGGAACACCACAACAATATGGTGTAAACAAGCCCTAATACTGTAATACTGCCTTCCATATAACAGAAACATTTTATTTAATTTTTTTTTAAACGCATTACTACTGATCAGTCGCCTGTAGTCAGGGGCTGACTGGCAACTTTTAGCCCAGGGGGCAAGTACAACCCAGAGGCCCATGGTGCAGCAACTTGGCCCCCCTCTCGCTCTGCCTCTTCCCCCGCCTTCTCCCCGCCCGTCTGCCACTTTTGCCATCCATGTAACGGTAGTGTGAACGGTCGGGTGATGTGAGGACTCCTAGTAAGTCCATGAAAGGGGTGACTGGCTGGGGGATGGTGCTCTCCTCCCACTGAGCTCCCTACATGGTTCTGGCCTTACTCCGCTCCATGTCCGCTACTTAGGGACTCTCACCCACTGCTGGCTGTCCATGCTTCTGGGCTGTGAGCTGTAGGAGGAGAGTGGGAGGGGCCGGAGAGTGTCAAAGTCAGTGTTCTATAATTTTTCTTGATCCTATACATTTTCTCGACTGTGTCACTTCCAGTGGGGCCGAGTCATCCGAATCAGCTGTTTTCATGACCCCCTTTCTTCATGGCATGTGCACCTGGAAGAGACGCGGTAGAGTATGGGTTGAGGAAAATTATAGCACACTGGTAGTGGAGGGATGCCACGTCAGTGCTGTGCACGTATACGACTGCTGCAACCCTGGTAGTTCTGCCACTAACTCCAAGCTGTAGAGGGACTACAAATCTCAGCACATTATACAACAATGTAGAATAATCCCACCCCCTATAGAGGACTATAAATCCCAGCAATAATGACTACCAATAGCTATAGAGAACTACAATTCCCAGCAATACATATTACAGCAATGCAGAATAATATGAAGCTACATACTCTG